AAGAGCTGGCAGGGTCCTTGGCCATCCATGGTCCAGAAGTTGCTGAGGGCAGGGGAGGCTGACAGAATTAAAATTCCCTCTCTGACAACTGCGCCGTCTTGGGCAATTGAGACTCTTTTAGGTCTCAGTTTCCACAAATGTAAAATGGAGACAATGGTATCCATGTGATAGTGCCAGCAGGATTGTTTATTACCCCCAAGAAGGAATTCAGGTGAAAACTCCACATATCTGGGGGTAAGACTTGGCAGTGTGTTTGTATAGTTTTGTTAGATGGGTAAATGGTAGATACAGTTTGGGGGCTTCCATGAATTTCAGCTCTGGGTGGCAGTCCTCACTCGAGGTTGGTAGCTGGAAAGAGAAGCACGCCCTTAGCCAGTGTCCAGATAAGGAAGGGCCGTCCGGCTGCTGACCCCATTAGTGGTGTGACCCCATTAAGCCCCTTCAGGCCTCTGCAGAGCAGCTCCTCTACTCTTCATTGATATGCACTTCCCACAGCCTTATTAGTTGCCTGATTAGCTAATATATTCTATTAATTGAGTTAAAATGTTAATGAATGGTAACAACTTTTAATTGGCTGCCACTCCTATATTACACTCCTCTGTCTTAACCCAAACATTCAGGGACGTAGCCTACAGAAGTGATTACTGTGGGACTTTCCAGTTTCCTGGAAAAAACAAGGCAGGAAAAAAAATGGGACTTGCTTAGACAGAGGGGTCAGAAGGAGAGGAGGAGTCAGGGGGGCCAAACCGAGCAAGTGCCCACGTGGCAGTTTACCCAGCATCAGCACACATCACACTTGCTGCCAATCTGATCAGCCTTCCTCTTTCCAGATATCAGGAACAAACTCAGTTTTCAGAGGCAGCTGCTCAGATCACTGTTAAAGCAGCTCGCCCACGTGGGTTTCAAACCTTAAGTGCCCATAGAAAGTATTTCATGGTCAGCTATCACAAGGGTGCCTGAACACACTGAGTAGAATCCCATCTCAAGTACTCTCAGTGCAAGACAAGCCTCTGCTTTACCAAGCGAGCTCTATTTCCCAGCAGATATATTGAGGGACGTTGCTCTGAGGGTCTGGTGACGCGGTTTCCTCTCTAAAGGGAGGAATTGTTCAGTAAGTTTCCACTTTCCCTGGTCACTCTTAATGACTCTTCTTAAGTGGGTCTAAAGGAGGAAGGCTCTGAGCCTGGGATGATAACATGGGTCACCTAATAGGAAAGGGAAATAGACGCTGATGGAACAGTGCCTGTAGCAATGAGGTTTACCTGACCGGAATGAATTTAGGATCACGGCAATCTCCCCATGATGTACGGGACAGTAAGAGTGTAATTGGTAGAGAAGCAGAGAGCAGGGGCAAAAGAGGCCAGCCAATTTCTTTTTGCTCTCTTGCGTGATCTTATTAATCAATTATAAGCTACTGAGGGGACCCCAGTTCTGTTGTCACTCACAATCCCATACCATCATTATGCACTTGGACATCTGTCTTCCTTCTGAACCGTGAGCCACTAGAGGGCAGGACATGTGTGTCTCTCTCCTTTTAGTATCTCTGGTCCCTAGCACAGAGCCTGGCACAGGGTAGGTGCACAATAAATATTGCTGAGTGATGAAGTGAATGAATGACTGAAATACCGTGCAGGGTAACAGCTGTCCCCTGTTCATACCTCTCCTTATTCAGATATCCCCAACCATTCATCTCAGGAAAACAAGACACAACAATAACAAATACAGCTCCCGAACTCCTAAACCACCTATCAAGCATGACAGAGGGAAGATCTAGGCACTCAGAAAACTCAGAGGCAGGACGGTTAGACCACGTGGCGCGGCCAGCAGGCAGGGGCAGCTGGGAAACCATCTTTGGATGTCGGCTACTACCTTTAAGGGACAGGGAGTGTGACATGCAACATTGTGCTCAAGATCAGAAAGTCTTGCCCCAAGAAGAATACAAGGTAGGTGTTCCAGAGAAGCTCACTGCAATAGGAGCAGAGGGGCATGGACCTTGCAAGGGGTTGGGGAAACAAATGAAGTGCTATCAGGGGAACTAGTGCACCCATCCTTTGGGGAAGAAACGTTTGCTCCCCACACTTGGTGCTTTCCAGCTTTTCTGTGCCGCTTCCTTCTCCTGCTCCTCCTGGGGGCTGTCCAGCAAAGCAGCCCCTAGCTGGGAACCTCACTCCTGCCCTCCTTCCTACACATCAAGAAGCAGGAGGACTTCAGGGCACAGGCAGTGCTTTAATGGGGAAATAAAAAAGGCCCTCTTACCTTCCCAGGGTCCCCCTGAAGGGTTTTACCACTGCCAGCCCCTCCCCACCACCCTGAAGCCTGGCTCTGTAGGGGCGGTGTGTGTGTTGGGGGGGAGGAGCGGAGGACACAACCAACCTGCCCCTCCCATTCATTTGGGAGTGCTTTCCAGGCAGTTAGGACATTCCATACAGCTTCTCAAACAGGACTCTTTTCTCCAAACTCAAGCTCCAGGGACCCTTTCATAAATCAGACCGTCATTTCTGAGGAGCTACATTTCCTGATTTCAGGATTGTTACAATGAGTGCCAGAAAAAAAAAATTTAGATAATTATCTAATTCCAGTGAAACTTCATGGGGTCCCTCCGACCCCGGGCTAAGGACTGGTGCAAACTGTACTTTGAGTTAAACTGTCTAAGGCTGGGAAAGCATAAAGTATTTGGGCATGGGGGAAGGGGGCCTTGTGGGAGCCATGTTTTCTAGCAGGCCTTTAGATCAAGATAGGACTGGGGTGGGAGGAAGTGGGGATTGCTTTTGCGAGGCGAGGGCAAGAGCTGGGGAGATGAAACCCAGCCTCAGGTACCGGGAGGGCCACGCTGGGGCAGGCGCTGAGTCTGCGCAGCCACTCCAGGATGCGCCAAGGGTTCCGGCCACGACTGCGAGGCCTCAGGCAACTCAGGGAGGCTCTCTGAACCCAGTCTGGGGTCTATCAATGGAGATAAAGATGACCGCCTGGAGAGGGGTGGCTTCTCGCGGGCTCAGCACCGTGCCCACAAATTGCAAACTGGATCTACGCCGAAGTTGGTCTGTCTTGGATATTTCTTCTCCCCTCCCCTTCCCGCAGCCTCCCCTCCTAATTCACAGATTGCTGAAACATCTGCCTGGCTGAAACTAACCTCTTCCCCGCACTCTGGGGCTGTCCCGAGGTGTTGGTCTTTGTGTTGGGAAAACTTTGCAAGAAAGCGAAGGCGCTGGACAAAGAGCGGGCGAGGGAGGGCGTTTGCCAGCAGCGGGGTACTGTGCGGTGCGCGCTCTTCCCTGAGCTCAGCTCGGTACTCGGACGCGCGCGGTGCTCGGAGCTCAGCCTCCCTCGGCGGGGGAGTGGCAGGCTCCGGCCACATCCCAAAGCCCTCGGGAGCTAACAGAAGGCAGGCTGGAGAAGCCAAGGCCGGTGGCCGTACATTGGAGTTGTCTAGGGTGGGAGGAGGCGAGCAGAGGCGCGGAGCAAAGCTGTCAAACTGCGTGCGGAGCCCCACGCGGGGCGGGGGAAGGGAGGGGAGGGGAAAGGAGGGGAGAAAAGTGGGCGGGAGCCGAGAGGCAGCGAGCGGGCTCGTCGCGCCTGAGCAACCCCTGTCTGCCGCTGTCGCCGCCACCGCCGCCGCCACCACCGCCACCACCACAGCTGGACCGGACTCGCCCCGAGCGCAGGGTGTCTGCTTCGCTACGCGCCGCGCGCGGAGGCTCGGACGCCTGCCGCTGCGCGCTCCAGCCCCGCTCCTCACGCCGGCCCGTGCGGGTCCCGGCGGGCGCCAAGCCATCATGCAGCTGCAGTTCCGGAGCTGGATGCTGGCTGCGCTCACGCTGCTCGTGGTCTTCCTCATCTTCGCAGACATCTCGGAGATCGAAGAAGAAATCGGGTAAATAGCTGCGCCCGGGCCGTGCCGAGCCCTGGCGGGATCTCTCTGTCCTCCATACTCTCCGCCCCCGAGCCCGCTTTGTGTGCGCCGCGCCCCCCTCTCTGTCCGCTGGAGAGGTGGGGGACGCTTGTGGTCGGGGGTGGCGGTGGCGGTGGCGGTGCCGGGGGGCCCGGGACGGTTTGGTGAGCGGAGGGTGGGGGCGCGGCTGTCGTGGGGTGTCTCCCGGCGGGAGCACGAGCAGCCTCCAGCTGACCCACGTCTGGGGCAGACTCGCCCACCCTGCCCCCCCTTTCCCTGAGTGTCCGCGCACAACGTCGCGGGGGTCGAGGGAGGGCGCCGGGGAGTGTCTGCATCGGGCGGAGGGGCCGAGAGTGGAGGAGGCAGGAGTTTCTTTGTCTTCAGCTCGGCCGCTTTCTCGCCTTGGCAAAGTGGGCAGGGGACGCGTGGGGATCTCTGCGCTGGGGGAGGGGATCCCCGGGTCCGAGCAGAGGGCGGGGGCTCTGCATGGACTCCCGGGAAGGGGTGTGTCCGCAGTACATAGAGACACGCACACGCGCCTCCCGCGGACCCGGGAGCCTGGCATTGGGGCGCGTGCTGGAACCACTAGAGGTGGAGCGCGCGGGGCTGGGCTGAGACCCCCGCCCTCGCCTGGCTTTGGACGCTCAGCTAACCCTGCGGTGTCCCTTGCGCCCCCAGGTCCCCGTGAGATCTCAGCACGGAGACAGAGACCTTTCCGGAAAGTCTGTACCGTTGCAGGGTGGTCTTCGGGGCCCCCTGGCGCGCGGTCTCGCCCTTGCTTTTCTCCGGATCTCTCCAGAGGTGGGGCTGGACCCCGAGCCCTTGCCCTGGCACGGGACTTCCGGGAGCACCCACTTGCAGCGCGGGACGCACCCGCCGTGGGTCCCGGAGGCTGGTACTCGCGCCCCGCCCCTCAGCCTCACGCAAGCCGGGCTAGCCACCCTCGGCTTCGGCGCCACAAAGAGCCTCCCACCCGTGGTGGGCAGGTGGGGAGGCAGCGAGGGTTTTGCGGGGCCGGGAGGAGAGAGCTTCCTGGCCCCAGGCAGGGAGAAAGCGAGGTCTCAGAGTGGGCAGAAGGTCCCTTCCTCCGTGGGGGCGAGTGCCAAGCCAGGCGCTCTACACGAGTCCCGCGCCGCGAACGCCCAGCCTTTGTCCCATTTTGCTATTTCATTCTAGCAGCGCCAGCTGAGGGCCCATACGTTGCCAGTTCCTTCGAAAGGGAAATGCCAGTCGTGGACCCAGGATGCCCAAGCCCTAAGGACCCAAACCTGGGGCAGGTGCGACTCGCTGCTCTCTCCTTTTCTCCCTGCCCCTTCTCATCTGCACAACCCTGGAATTCCTTCTGTGGACTCACCCCGCTTCAAGAACCCTTCTCTCTGCCTCTTCTCATCATGCTCGGTTTCCTTTCCCCAAGCGCTCCAAAAACTTTTACAAATACTATTTAGTTAATACACGATGTGCCACCAGCTCCCACGTGGAGATAGAGAAACACGCTACTTTCTGTAGCTGTTCAGCTCAAAAACGTGGGTCGGCAAGGAAAGGGGGCTAGCCAACTCGTGGGCGATAGAGGTCACAGTGGGGAGGGCCTTCCTCTAGACGCCCCCTCTTCTCCCAGATGTGGACTTCGCCTGGCCCAGACCACTTGCTGACCTTGACATGTGGGAGGGAAGGACCAGCATTGTTCTGCTATAAAATCATAACAAGTGCGGTGCTCACTCAGACTTCCCTTGTTCATCCATTCACTGAACTTTAACTGAATACCGACTACATGCCAGGAACTTTTAATTTTGAAAATGCAGTCAGGAAATCACCTTCACATAATGCGGCACTTTCCCACCAAATGCATTGCAAAGCCCCCACTCCCCCCCCCCACATCACCTTGTTTCATCAGGGTGTCCAGGCATAAGCGCTAAGTCCTGAGCTAAGATGGGCACTTACATGAATATTTAAAATCCAAGTCTCTTGTGCTATGGGTGTGCCCCTGGGACATGTTTCATTGAGGGTCTCTGCCTCGGCTAACCCTGGGAACAATTGTCAAGTAGGTCAAATGTGTTCCCTTCCGTGGCACTGTCCTTCCCTCTGATGACCCTGTCCTCAGGCTGACCCCTGGCCAGTACCCCCACAAATATTTAACTCAGAGGAGTGGAAGCATATCTGGGGTTTGCCATGATTGGGGGAGGAAGGATATGGGGCAGAGGACAGGAACCTCAGTAGCCCCTGATAGCTACTTATAAGCCAGGTTTCAAACTCAGTCACTTATTCAATCCTTGGAACCACTCCAACTTTGAGCAGCCAGAGGGTGCTCCCCACAGGTGGTGCCCTGGCATAGTGACCAGTGAGGGGTGCCAGCAGCTCTGTCTTCCTCACCATATGCCTTCCCGGGAGACCGCGAACCATTCTCAAGACCATGTGCCATTGCATAAGCCCTGCCCACCCTTCCCCAATTTGATCTCAACCTGTGCTAGGGAGGATTAGAAATTACCTGCCTGTGTCAGGGAGACAATTGTTCTGTAAAAGAATGGCTGTTTCTGGAAGACAATGAGCAGTGGGACCCTGTTAGACAGGAAGGAGGGAACCTCTTTTTGGAATAAATTTTGTGAGGATTAAGGAATGCAACGTGAAAGAGGAAAGAGAATTACACCTGCATTGTCTGGAGGAACAAAACAGAGATACACTTTTCTTAAGCTATTCATTCCCTTTCTTAGACAATGAGGCTTTTGACGTGATGGTCTCAGAGGTCCTGTCCAACCCGAGGCATCACATAAGGTGTTAGGAGGGTCCAGGCTTTCTTCCAGGGGATTTTTCTAAGGAACACCACTCTTTTCCTAAGTGGTGATTTTCAAAGTTATGTTTCTACCTCACTTGCTCCAGGAAATGCCTCCCTGGGGCTGAATGAGAAAAGGAAAATGGAGAAAGATGAGTTCACTGCTAAGCTCCCCAAAAAGGAATGAGTTGAAATCCTACATGGAGGTTGGGTGGGGGCTTTGGAGAAACAACCCCTGATTAAACTCATGGTGCACCCCAAGTTTTAGCATTCATTGGACCAAGTTAAAAGCTAAAATCTTTTTGGGATTGCCCCTTGGACTTTAGTTTTGAGAGTAACCACCGAGAGGGAGGTGTGGGCATGGCTGTCTTGCCCACTGTGGTATCCCCCAAACCTGGCATTCAATAAACATCTGTTGGATGAATATCCTTCCTCGGCCTGGCCCAGTGATGGATGCGCGCCATCCTTGGACAAGGCTGAGACTCACAGACCCTTAGGACAGGAAGGGAGTATTGGGCTCCCTCTAAGAAACGCCCTTTAACAATTAGGGTGAATTTGACCCAGAGAAGCAACATCACGACCAAGATCTCACACACACAGGGCCGGCCTGCCCAGGTCTCCTCAGTGTAACCCAATGCCCTAGCCCCCACGTGAGCTTCTGAAATCATAAGGGGGTTATGAGGAGATAACTAGGCATAGTAATAGATGATGGTGAAGATGGAGGTGGTGATGGTTGTTACCACTTACTGATCTACTGAGCGCTTGCTGCGAGTCAAGAGCTATTCCAAGTGCTTTATACACATCAGCACGTATCATCTCCATGACCACCCAATGGTCACTTCCCAGTGGCACTGAGNCTCCTGCAGCCGAACACACTGGTCTCTTGATCGTCCCACAGTGTTTCCAGTCTGCTTTGTCCAGTCTGACTGGGGGAACTAGGAAGAGAGAATGCACAACCATGAAGACTCCATGTGAGGCAGAAAAAGACACCCAATGGGGCATTTTACAAGAAACCCACTTGACGCCAAGGAGTACTGTGCTTTGACCCATGTTTTCTGCTAAAATTCCAGCAGGCTGACGTTCTGGTAAATACAGGCGTGGTTTTGGACACTATCCCATCGGGAGTTCACTTTAAAAATAGGATTTCACCAAGGTGATCGTGACCTTGGCAACTTCCTGTTACCACTGGTCACCAGTGTTGTGCTAGAAATGGCTCGTGCTGGTTGTTCATGAGCCCTTATTAAAAATTACAGCATATATACTTACAATTCAATAAAATTGTGCTAAAACCAAAGGCAATACCTACTCAGAACTCAGCAGCTCCTACTTTTAGTTTATACCTTCTTCTATTATCTATGCTCTACACATCACTTCATTTATTGTACGTATGTGGTAGAAATATTCTGTCTTGGTGTGTCAGTGAACACCTCTTTTCAATGTCACCTTCAGTTATGTGACAGTGGTGGCTAGAAATTGGCCATGGCCATTACGGTATAGGATGGGTTTCTACCATGCCAGATAATGTGGGACCAGAGAGGAATAAAGGTCCTCACCCCTTGGGAGTTTATCATCTCATTGAAATGTCATTTAAAAAACAAAATAAAATAGCGTATGTGTAGGAGAACTAGCACTGAACCCAACAAGGAGGCAGGAGAGCTAGAATCTGTTCTCAGCTTTAAAGCTAGCAGCGGCCTTGTGGGCAAGCCTCTCGGTCTCTGCATCCCCAAATTTTCCATCTGTAAAATCCCAGAGGAATCTAAGCGCCACAAAGGAGCAGTGCCTGTGACTCAGCACCCCAGCCCTCTAGAATCATTCTAGACACACAGCAGGGGATGCAATGACACTTGTTAAGTGAGTGAATGGACAGGAATGCACCGTCTCCACCCTACCCTTCCAGCTCTGAGAATGTCGAGTCTGTGGTCCAAACAGAGGTGAAGAGAAGTGACTCAAGGCTGAGAGCTGGGGATGATTGACACAAGCCACCTTCCGGATGCCTCATGGGAAGGAGGGGTCATGCTGGACTCTGGACAAAGTTGGGCAAGCTGATTGAGAGGCATCTGATTTGGACATCACAGTAATAATTCCCCTGTAGCACTGGGGGGAATCGTGAGGGGACATTCCTTTTTCTTGATCTCTGCCTTCTTGTACCTGACTTTGTGCTTTGGTTCAAAACCATTTTTAGTCCCAACTGAAGAGTCCAGCAAAAAATGGAATCATC